GATAGAGATAAGAGAGGTTGATGGTTCAGAAGAATCCAACAGATGGGTAGAAGCCGCTAGGAACGAAGCGAAACAAAGATACGGAGATTGGCTACAAGAAACGCCAACGAGAGGGGGTCGCAGAATAGCGCCGTATACCACAAGAAGGAGAGTGGAATGCTGGGCGTGCGGGGGTGAACACAAACTTAGGTTTTGCCCAAGTATAGAGTTGACAACGAATAGTAATGCGAATGCACCAGGGAGGAACATGGTAACCGCGGCAAACTCGATGGAGTTAAGGGAGAATTAAAGGGGGAGATGTAGTATTATGTAAATTTAAGATGGTACGAAATTTAACATTTTTATAATTTTGTTATTATGTATATTTAACATTGTACGAAATTTAAGATTTTTATATTTGAATAATAATAGGTTAATATTTATATGTTTATTCTTCGAAAATTGGTAATATTTGTACTAGATTTAAGATTTACATATTTGAATAATGAGATTTTAATGTTTATATAGTTGATTCTTCGAAAATTGTTTAATTTTATATATATATATATATTTTTAATTCTTGGAAGTTTTTTGATAATTTGGATTCTTCGAAAATTATTTTATTATTTTTTAAATTGGATGACATTTTGAAAATAAAATTAATAAAAAAGGAAAGAGTTAATAAAGAAAAGGTAAATATACAATTTGATAAATTAGAATTATTATTATATATAATTAAGGTACTCAAGGGTAAGTAATTAAACATCATTATTATTAGAATTAATCTTTTATTTTAATAAAGAAAGATTTAACAAACTTTGAATTCTTAATTGCTCTCCCACTACTGAGTAAACACCCTGAGGTAAGTTCGGATTTATAACAATTTTAACAAATTTTCTTCAAAAAAATTCAAAAAACTTTAAAATTAACCATTATGACAATTGTCACTTTTCATTGATACATCTTCACTAAATTTATATTTACACAAGTTATTAATTCTTATTTTAACATATTTTCGTCAAAAAAAATCGAAAAACTTTAAAAATAACGATTATGACAATTGTCACTTTTCTATGGTACATCTTCACTAAATTTATATTTACACATGTTATTAATACTTATTTTAACAAATTTTCGTCAAAAAAATTCAAAAAACTTTAAAATTAACCATTATGACAATTGTCACTTTTCATTGGTACATCTTCACTAAATTTATATTTACACATGTTATTAATTCTTATTTTAACATATTTTCGTCAAAAAAATTTGAAAAACTTTAAAAATAACGATTATGACAATTGTCACTTTTCTATGGTACATCTTCACTAAATTTATATTTACACATGTTATTAATACTTATTTTAACAAATTTTCGTCAAAAAAATTCAAAAAACTTTAAAATTAACCATTATGACAATTGTCACTTTTCATTGGCACATCTTCACTAAATTTATATTTACACATGTTATTAATTCTTATTTTAACATATTTTCGTCAAAAAAATTCGAAAAACTTTAAAAATAACGATTATGACAATTGTCACTTTTCATTGGTACATCTTCACTAAATTTGTATTTACACATGTTATTAATACTTATTTTAACATACTTTCTTCAAAAAAATTCAAAAAACTTATAAAAGAACGATTATGACAATTTTCACATTTAAATATTATCCTTATAAAAAGATCATATAAAATAACATCAAAAAAGTTTCATAAAATCCACCTCATTTAATAATAAATAGATAATTTTAAAAAAATGATATAAGATTTCACCTAAAAGATTGTTTATTTATCTAATAAAATTTACAATATAATTCCTCAATAAAAGATGTATTTACAAAGAAGATTGTGAAAATCACTAATAAATTATATTTAAAGAATATTACATTTTTACAATATAGCAGCATATTATTTTTTTTTATTAAAAAAACATCAAATAAATAAATTTATTTTCATTTCAAAATATAATAATATAAATAAAAAATATTAAATCATATCATGTTTATTTGTTGATAATAATAAAATATTTACATTAAATATAAATAAAATAAATTATTTTACTCAAATAAATAAATAATAATTAATGCTAAGCATCATGCAGAATTTTGAATAATTTATTTTAGCCAATTTTTAGGCTTAGCCCATTTTTAGGCTTAGCCAATTTTTAGGCTTAGCCGATTTTTAGGCTTAGCCTAATTAGGTTTAGCCGATTTTTAGGCTTAGCCTAATTAGGTTTAGCCGATTTTTAGGCTATACCTAATTAGGCTTAGCCGATTTTTCCACCTAAAATCTCGGCTAAGCCGTTTTTAGTCGGCTAAAATTAGCCGATTACGCAACACTAGTTTCAATCATTGTGAATATAAAGCTGAGATGATTGCACTTTATTATGTTTGGAGCTAAACTTTGACGTTAGTAGAATCCCTCTTTGGGATCCTCGGTTCTTTCAGAGATCCGGTTTCCCAGCTCTTTAAAGAAGGCCAGGGCATGAGAGCCGAAAGATGTGAGTCATGGCGATTAGTGATAGGAATGTATAGTTGGCAGGTAGCGATGGTAAATATAAAAAAGTTTTATCATAGCCTGAACCAAAATTTTTCAAAAAACAGGCTTATTCCACACCAAAATAAATTCCAATGGGTTGGGGGGGGGGGTGGGCTTTGCACCTTACTACTTTATACACCTATTAGATATCTAACGGAAGAATACAATATGTATAAAATAAATAATAATTTTAATTTAGATTAATTAAACACAGAATAAACACAGGAATAGATTTTTTGATAAAATACATCAGGTTGAAGAAAGTTATAGTCATAAAAATAGCTTAGAAAAAGGCATGACTAAGCGTTTCTACTGTTTCAAATCCCCTAGACAGATGATAATTACATCAAAAAAATATCTAATATTATTAAAAAATTTAGATTAAAATTCCAACATTCTCAATATGCGATGAAAGATTTTCAAAATAAAAATTTTAATAACTATATCAAAATTTTTCATTTTCATTTTTTATCTTATTCTCAGTATTTTGAATCTTCCTTTAAAAAAAAGATTCCGATTCAAATCTCGAATGTTGATGTGTAATCTTGTTGAACCAACAATGCTTCCTGGTTCATATTTATTCATAAATACAATTAATGTATTTTTTAATTGAATATTTTATATCTTTTCATTTATTAATAATTTAAATTTAGACCATATTATATACCAATATAAACCAGTATAAACCACACCAAAACAAGAAATAGAAAATATTGTTTAAATCAACTATTATTTTAGAACTAATACCTATGCCATTACCATTACAATATTTTGTTAATCGTTTTTAATATTGGTTACCAGCCTTATCTAGTGTTGTTAAGTTACTTTTAAAACGTAACTAGTTACTTTTATGTTAAATATGATTTCTTATTTTATTTTTGTTAATCAATCAAGTTTTTGTCACTTATTCAAAAATTTAGTTTTTATATTTTTCTTTAAAATGTTTAGTTTTAATTTTAAGAATTCAAAATTTTTTATTTTTTTTTTTAAACAGTTAATTTTAAACTGTTAAAAACAATTGTTTAACTTTTTAAGTTTCATTTTACTCTGAAAGGTCATTCTAAATTGAAGTTTTTTTATTTTACTTTTAAAAACAATTTAAATCAGAATATTTTATTCTAATTATATTATTTTTATTTTGTATATAAAAAACGTTATTTTTGTATTAGAGGATCATTTTTGATCATTACGATTTATTTTTATTTTACCAATAAACTTATTGTGTTCATGAATATTCTTCATTGTTTATTGTTTTTATATAGTGCTTCATCAAGAATATTATTGTGTAACAAAACTCTTCTAAATATTCTTCATGTCCCAATCTCAACCAAATAATAATTTTAAACTAGTTCTTTTTTATCCCTCTTTTGTAAATACATATAAATTAAAAATAGTATTTTTATCCCTCTTTTGTTTCGTCTTAACCCATTAATGGTCAAGATTTTTCTAGTGGATAAAAATGCTCAATTTTTTCAAATTATATTGATTAATGCTCAAATATGATATTCTAAAAAAATCAGCCAAAAAAAATAATCCTAAATAGAAAATCTAGCCTGGTGCATATATGCACCGTTAACCATTAAGAGGTTAAAAAAGATAAAAATTATATAAAATACTATAAGATCAAAAAAACAACAAATATCTTTATTCTTTTTTTGTAATTTATAATAAAAACGAGAAAATGTTTATATATTATGAAAATCCTTGAAACATTTAATATGGAGTGCGATTTGACATGTTTGGCACATATATCTTGAGTGCGTATGGCAATATCTGCATCTTCGTCTTTTTCCATCTATAATTTTGGATAAATAATGTCCAGATGAATCAATAGGGTTTTCACACTGTAATGCAAACTGGCTGGCGTGACCTGTACTTGAATTTTTTTCAATTTTTACTGGCGTTCGAAGGAGGTAGTTAGTAACTTCTCGTCTAAATGCAAGCAAACTCTTCTTGTCATCTCGATTCACGAATTTCCAGATTTTCCATGAATTTACCAAAGCTACATCAATAAAATTGGTGAATATTGGCCACCACCATTTTTTTCCTCTTATTTTTATTCTATATGTAGATATTAGATTATCACATAGATCAACTCCACCCATGTGTTTGTTATAAGCAGTTACCATATTTGGCTGAGGAATTTTTATTTTAGAAGATATTTTCTTAGAATACCTTGAAACATTAGAAAGCAAAGAGATAGTGTGGCATGTCGATGCAACGGTCACCACCGAATTATCATTCCAACGAACTACAAATATTTCGTTTAATTTTTCAAACCTATAATCATAATATCCTCTTTCTTTTTTTGCTACAACCTTTATAGATTCAACTGGGCAATGCTCTATTCTATTGTCCCTCACAGTTCCAGTTGCAAAATATCCCATTTGTTTTAAGTATGACAAGAGTTTAAATGATGTAAAGAAATTATCAAAATATATTTTATGATAATTTGGTTTTTGCAATGCCTTTAATAATTTTATGATACATTTCCACCTAATCCATATTCATATTTATTTTCGCTTTTTCCTTGATATATATCAAATGAGAATACGTAACCGTCGGAAGAGGCCAATATCCAAGACTTGTATCCGAATCTAATTGGTTTTCCTTTTATGAACATTTTGCAAGAATGTCTTCCTCGATATGGTATCATCTGTTCATCTATTGATAAATGATGTTTAAAAATTCCGAATTGCTGAAATTTATTATTCAATATATTAATGTAAGGCCTAACTTTATAAAATCTATCATGTATATCTATTTTAGTATTGTCTGCCAAATGGATATTATATTTCAAATTTCGAAATTGTAATTGGGTCATTGTATCCCGGATTATTGGAATAGAAATATCGCTGTCATTAGACCAGTACATTCTTTCTTGTGGGAGAGAATGATATCCAGTAAATAATAGAATTCCAATAAATCTCTGAATATCTTGGATGGTTATGCATATGTTAGGTCTATTCATTTGTTTAGCATAAATATTACTTTGTTCTACAATTAGGGAATATAAGTCTTCGTCGAAAATTAAACAAAATATATCTGATGGACTTTTACCATGTAAATCATTTTCAAGTTTTATTACATCTTCCTTTTCTCCATTGAAAGGGCTTGAAGAATATATTGCATCCGTTTTTCTCCATTTTAAATTGTGAGAAATTCGAGAATAGCTTCTTGTAGAATATGGTTCTGGAAGGTCGTCATCAACTGAATTATGAATCTCCAATTCTCCAGCTGTATCTGAAGGCAAAACTCCGACATTTGTTAAGTCATTTTCATCGAAATCTTCTTCATCACTAACTGCAGAGGGGTTTGGCGGAATTATAACCATATCTCTTTCTTCAATTGGTTCCTCTTCAAAAAGTTGAGCAAGCGCTTGTTCAATTGTTAGAAAACGTTTCATTAAAAAAATTTATTAAAAATTAAATATCTAGACAAATTATTTTCGTAGAATCTTGATTTTTTTATTAGTCATCTATTATTTTGATAATTTTGATTGAATTGACAAAACAGGTGCATAATATTTTATATAAATAAAATAAAATCTTCAGAAAGGAAGAGGCTAAAAATAATTTTAAACTTTTGAATATTTATGAACCTAATAATTTCATATAATTTGATCGGGATAAAAAATTATAATAGGAACAATATATTATTCGATTTAATCTCAGGGGAAAAAAAATTTTTTAAATTATTTTCAAAAGGTCTTTTTTGGGTATAAAATTTTTTTTAAAAATTCTTAAGGGGCTCGAGCCACCCACCCCTCCCTTTCCCACCCTTAGTGACGGTAGTGGTTTTAAGTATAATATAAAAAATTATAATTCATTATGTTAAATTTCATTTTTTTGAATTTTTTTAAATAATATATACTGCTAGATGGTTAACGGTGCATATATGCACCAGTCAACTTTATGTGGTTACCTACTAAAATATTAATTATTTAAAAATTCAAAAATGATTGATAAATATTGATATATCTATAAAGAATATATACACACTAGTTTTCATCGAAATAATTTTATAATATGCTCGTGAGATCACTTAGAAAATTTTGCATTTTAGACCTCATAAATTCGCAAAGTTTGAGGGTTTCTTAGGGGCATAAAAAAATATTTTTTTCATATTTTTCTTTTCCACTTTTGAAGTACAATGTCTGAACTATATAAAAATCTTTTTTATTATTTTTAAAAAAAAAACTACTATGTTAAAATAAGGTATATAGGAGGTGGTGCATATATGCACCGTTAACCAGTAACGGGTATACATAAAAATAAATATAGTTTTTTTTTTAAAGTCTCTCTTTTGTTTGATTTAATTATATAAAAAGTAAAACATATGGTTTTTATGTTTTCTTTTAAAGGTGTTTTTTATATTTTTGGATTCCTTAGTAAAGTTTTCATAAGAAAGTTAGGTCCCGGAATAAATCGGAGGTATAATTAGAGTTCCGAAAAATATGGAGGGGGAGGGGGAGTTGGTTTTGTTTCCAATTATGCAAGATAAAACTAACACTACTCCTCGCAAAAACGTTCCCTTTTCATTTTACGCCAATTTTATTTTAATTTATAATTTTATTATTGCGCTTTTTTTCCCTATAAAAGGGGCTAATATTTATGTTTATCACTATCTTATATTTTAGTTTACAAATTTTTATAATAAATTAATTGCGTTTTATTAAAGTCTATTATTTTTACCAATTTAATAAAATATTGAGTTTTAAAATATTTATATTTGTAATTATGTTTCATAAAAGTATTTTTAGTTTAATAAAATTAATATCTAGTTAATCATGACCCTTACGAGATTTAAAGGGTTAGATGATCCTTCAACGACTGTTCCCATGAATGATACTACGACCAATGTACCTGTATCTGAAGCACTATTACTTTATTTTTCTAGTTACATTCTTAAACGGTAACTAGTTATAGTTACTATTCACATTTTAAAATATTTTTTAAAAAACAAATTAAATGACCATATATTGTTATTGGAACAGAATATAGCGGGGAATGAGTTAATAAAGCAAAAAAAATTTGATATATTGACCTGGATAATATTTTTGACGAAGATAAAATCCTCTTTTTGGATCCTCTGTTATGTAAATTCCCATTGATTAGGTCTTGAGCTTGAAGACAAAATGGTAAGAGTGATCATGATAATTGATACGAAACTATTGACCAGAGATATCCATGTATTTATCAGATTTCATTTTTTCTTATTAAATCTTTGTTTAGGTTTGATGAAGCGGGATCGAAAAATCCCAAGCTGGGCACTTGTCATTTTTCCAAGGTAACTGAGTGATTGCATCCGGCCATCTATTGTCAGGAAATATGTTTAACAATGGTAGGAATTCTAGTTGAATTTAAAGCAGGTTTGCATAGAGTTGCCGGGGAACTAGCCCGCTACTTCTAATGCATTGAAGTCAATGTTTACTGAATCTACCTGATTGTAACATCTTGCACATTTGTGTAAACCGAGTTGTTTCAACGAGTAGCAAGAAGCAAAACTGAATTCCTGGTCATTGAGCTCAAGGCCTAGATTTTTAGAAGGATTTAACGCTAAAATTAATGACCTCAAATGATGTTCAAAGCTGCAAAGGAGGAATGGTTGACAGATTGCAAGTTTGTGTAAAGATAATCAGAAAGGGCGCATCCCAAACTTTCTATTTGGTTGTACTGGGGTCATATAAAGGCCATTTGTATTACTCTATAAGGAGAAGGTCTTAATTAGTAAATCGTGTGTTGAAAAGAATGAGGGCCAAGAATAGCAGCATTCGCAAGTCTAGAAAAGATACTTCTTAAAAGGCTAAGCAAATTTGATCATAGATTTCCAATCGGTCTTTATATTATTTTAAAATTTTGAAATGAATGTTTTTTGTATACATTTCCTTTGTTAACTATTTTATTCCACTCAGTTATTAGTAATAGATATTAGCTATAAACCATTTATCAATTTACCTCTAAGTAACGAGACAATTTGACTAGATTAAAAAAGTATGTTTATTTTTGCCTCATGCATTAGAGATAAAGAACATGGGTTAAATTTTTAAAAAATAGAAAGATTGGATTAGCAAATTATCGATGTTAGTAAATAAATTCTGTGTGATTCAGTTAAAATCACAGCCTTCGAGTCTGCTCTATTTAGCTGAGATTTATATGAACCCCCCCGAGGATTCTTTTATGCCCTTCATATCCAAATAAAATAATTTTTATATACGATTGAATTTATAATTTTAATAACATTAATATAGATACAAATATAACAAATTTGGATGGAAAAAATTTATTTCAAAAAAGTGCTTTACTATTTAAATAAATTGTTAAAAAAAAATATTCAATGTGCCATCAATTTCCATGATAACATGAAATTTGATACTCCGCCTCTATTTTTTAATGAAGAGTCATTACCGATTAAGCGACAGTGGAGAAATCTATTTATACCTTTAAGAACATTTTTTTTTAAATATCCTACTCAGTAGTTATGAAAATAATATGGGCGATTTATCTAAAATTTAGAATTTCTTATAATTTCCTATTTTAGCGTCAAATATATTAATTTCTTAAATTCAATTACAGGGTCATTGTTTTACAATGCGCCATTTTTAAAAAACGAATATGAATAATGAATTATTCGAATTCGATTCTTATAAATATATTGAATAATATTCGAAATTATAGCGTTCGAATGATAGTTTATTAACGAATTGTGAATTTTTTTTTAAACGAATACGAATATTTATTAGTTAATTTTGTTTACAATATCAAATAGTCAAATCCACTGTTTTAGGTAAGAATTAATAAGTGCTTTCACCATGGCTTGGGTTATTTTTTGAAGCTTGTTCGCATTTAATTGAGACGAGCTGATGTTTATCTATGATTATATAATATAGTTAGAAATTAGGATAAAATGAACGGTAATAAAACACTTTTAAAAAAATACTATTCGTTTTTCAAAATTTTAAGATTATAACTAATATTGCAATAATTTATACAATTCGAAATCAATTAAGTTATTTATAGTCAACTGATAAATTTAACTTTGATAAAAAGAGCTATATCTTAAAAAAATATATTGTATATTTTGATAATTTAATAAAAGTAAATAATTGTTTTATCCATCAACAGAGGATGTAAAACTGATGTATTTAAATTGGTATTTTGTCTATGTGGTAATAGCCTTCGTTTGCATTTTTAGGTTTTCGATGTAATGCGATGCCCTAGATCCTCGAAGAAAGTTAGGGCCTGATTGCCAAAGGAAGTTGGCGTTTTAGAAATTATTGGCATGAATAAATGGTTGGAAGGTGAAACAGAAAAATATTTGGGCAGATTTACTATGTTCCGCACTGACAAAAGTATTAGATTTTAGGTTGGAGGGTGCGAGTGAATTTAAATTTTTTTTTTTTAACTTAGTTGATATTTATAATTTAGGTTACCTAATTTAGCAAACAAGTTGATAGCAGCCAAATTTAACTTAAAAATTTTAAATTTGACAATTTTCGATATCAACATATCACCACAATCACGTAGAGATAAAAACACTGATCTCAATTCGTGAATAACAAATTACAATACATTATATTTTAAAATGCTTTAAAAATCGATAAAATTTATAAATATTATTTTATAATATTAAAAAAAGATAATTTTAATTATTCCATAATAAAATAATTCTGTATGATTGTTTGTATTCTTATAAAGGCTCCCTCCTTCACTTTCTTCTAATTTTTTTAAAAATCTTTTTATTAAAAATTCCCTGTTTTCATTTTCAAAATGTTTGATTCTCATTTTATGTTTACAAAAATAATAAATACACTAAATATAAAAACATTTCCCAATCATCCACGCATATAAATCGGATTATTTATTATTCGTCATTTAATTTTTTTTATTGGATAATTTATTGGTTTTTTGTTGTATTTCTGGTTGCATTGATTTGTTTGAATTGATTGGCTTTTACAGTGACTGAATGTATAATTTTATTTTAAAAAAATGGTATTATTTAAAATACGCTTGAAGGGAACCCGATGAAAGGAAGGATATGGGTATATAGATGAAAATGTTTAGTGTTTTTGAATATAAAATATCATTTAATGGGACCTGACATTCGTTTAAGAATTTTATAAGCAATAAAGGTCAATATTTTTAAAGTTGGCTCAATTAAGATTTTAGACAAAATAATATTATGCAAGCCTCGAGATTTGGCAAATAGAGGTCCAACCAAACCTTTTTGCCATCTATAAGCAGAATCTCGAGGTTTGGCTAAAATCTTAATCGGGCCACTTTTAAAAATAGAGCCGTTTAACAATACTAATAATAGCTGCTTTACTTGGAACAATGTGAAATTATAATCCTATGATTTTAAATATTTTAACATTTTTAAGAACATTATAAATTTAAATTATAATATAAAATATATTTATTTTAATATATAAGAATTGGTTGAGCTCAGTAAAATTTTGAGCAGGATGTTGCAAATTTTTTCTCCAGGTTACTTAATTATGCAAATTTAATCAATCACATTATTATTATTTTATCTTCTAAGGCTAGCGAGGACAGGGGCACGTAGGACCAGATTTTGTAAAAATTGCTATAAAATCTGTAAATATTCGCAAAAAATATCGAGTGTTATATCAGACGGTAGCTAACTACCTTGTTTATTTAATAAATTTTGGGACCATTCCTAACTATTTTCAAGAATAAAATATATTTAAGTAGAGGAGTAAGAATACACATAAGATTCTCTATCAACTTTGCTATATATAAATATACATTTTAAACATTACATATTTAATTAAAGCATTTTGCAAATGGCATTATTTTTAAATATTATGGAATTTAGTTTAACCCAATATTGGGATATGGTTTGGAGAAATTTTAAAAATTTAAATCATTTATAGCACATATTTTTTAATAAGATTTAATTTTGCTGTAATTGTATTCCAGCATGTATTAATATAAGTATATCAACCTTATGAATTTTCCACAATTTAACCCTGAAATTGTATTCAATTTTAATTTAACTTGATTTCTTCATAGATTGGCTTATTATTAATTAAATTCAAAATCTTAGAAAAATTTGTAATTTATAAGGTAAATACTTTACATATGGTGCTGGCAAAATTACGCCTTTCAAAATTAAATAACTCGGCCACTCAGACCTTGAATGAAATCTGAAATTATTTTGTTTTACTAATGCTTTTTATAGATTCTTTTCAAGAAAAGCACCAAAAAAATTTATTTTCCTCTAGGTTTTATTATTTTTAGCTTTCCTTAAAAAAAATCGTACATATTACTCAAACTAGTATAATCGTCTCCTTTATTTTTTTCCGATTGGAATTCGGATCTTTGAAAGAAAAATAATTGGATCTGTCGGACAATAATTTTTCAGGGCTCTATTATTTAATTTTTAAAGTAAAACTCAAGAAAAAACTTTTAAGGTCATTATATTATTAAACAAAGATCATAGGGCAAGGTTTAAAAATAATATCGCAGATTTATCTGATATTTGTGGGGGGCTAAGCTGATGGTATTCTGAAGATGTTATAAGCAGGGTTGTGCATTTGACCGGTCAAATACGTTTCGGTCAATTGACCGATATTTGACCGGCCAAATATGGTCAAATACGGTCAAATGTGGTCAAATTCAAATATTTTTTTTTAAAGTTAATATTAACTTTATTTTGAATATAATAGTAAAATGAATCTATAATATTAATTTTTTAAATTCATTCAATAACTAACGTGTAGCTATCTGTATCAGAGTCTTGTTCTGATTCATATTCAATATTATCATTTTCTTTAATATTTTTTAAACAATTTTCCTGATATCTTAGATCTTAAATCGATTTCTATTTTCATAAGAATATTAACCCAAATCGACCTATTTCTTTCTAAAGAAGAAGTAGAACTAGGAATTGTTAGTCTCTTAATGGGCAGGGTAGACAAAGTTTAATCTATTAACTTGAGGTCGGAATTGATTGTTTCTGGAAATTACTACTTTCCACATATTTTGCTATATTAAACATGCTGTTTTTGCTTCTGAAATTAATTATATCACTTAAAATATTTTGGTCATCACTACCTTGTAAAATAGCTAATTCTTGAATTATATCACATACTTCATTAATTACACTACTAGTGAGTTCTCCTCTTGATATTGTGGACCCGAAAAATAAGCAAACATTGTGATCACATGTATTTACATCTTTTTTCCCTTTTTTAAACATATTTTTAATTTATTTTTCCTTTAAATTTTTTAGAGTATTTGACCGTATTTGACAGGTCAAATACTCCTCCGGTCAATTGACCGGTCAATTGACTGAATTTGACTGGTCAATTGACCGACTTGCCAATCCTGGTTATAAGTATTGATGGGTATTCACTTTTGCAAGATAATAAGCATTATTAAATATTATCTTGGTTTGTTTATCAATATAATTAATTATTTTAAATGCAACCTCTCTGCAGCTTTGTGTGCATCCGACAGAATTGGCATGTTTCCAAAAATTTTCTCAAACTTTGTAGTTTATGTGTTTTCCCTTATAAATGGCTACTGGGCAGGGCTACAGATACCAAGCGGCTAGTCAAAATAGATACAATGACATTCCCTTATTTCTATTGGATATTCCTTTTTAAGAACCAATTAAAATAGAGAAGGGTTAGTTTTTGAATTTAAAGTGTACTATTACATGAGTATTAACATTATTTATAAAATATCTGGTTAAAAATCTTTTTTATATTACATACCTAATACTTATTCCATTCTTTGATTACTCGTAAAAAATTAAAAAAGAAATTTATGATGGCCAAATCCATTTTTTACCACTGGGTTGTCAAAAGTCTTACCATGGCCTTGGTAAAATGGGGCTCTGAGTTTAATCGATTTGTGATTTATATATTATGTATTAAGGGAACCTCTTCAAATTTAATAATGAAAATAAATGTTTGGGTATATATATTTTAAATAATATTAATAACAGACTATTTAAGAATAATTATGCAAAGGACGAATTATTATTTCCACAAAAAAATTATAAATAAATCTCGATTATAATTTGTCATTGTCAGTCACAACCGAAATAAAAATTTAAATGAGACAGATGGGATATAAGATGTACTTTACAAATTTATTATTTATATGTATGTCGTCTTATCTTATCTTATATAATAGTATAAGTAATAAATTATAAACATACAAATGGGGAAAAAAAATCAATGGGCTAGAAATTTTCTCTTATAATAACACGAATAAAATATGTCCATTGAAAGACTTAATTTACAAATCAATGAGTCATTGATAATTTAATTTATATACATTCATTGTGTCGCTTTTTTTCTTATATGGCTTAAATTAATATCTTAAGTTGTGGATATAAAAATTAAATTAATATTATGTATAATTTAACATAATTGATATGGCTAACTTATCTATAGGCAGATGATATGTGAGTGTGATATTCATAATTTTTAAAAAATTGTTTAAATTTCAAGGTATATTATTGTAAAAAATATTAATGGTATTAAATTCATATTTCAATTATCTTCTGTACATCTAAAAGTCAAATTGACTCGTTATTTGACAAATAGCTAAGAATTTATTAATCTAAATTTTAGTTTAACTGTTTACATTTATGTAAAATTCAGGAAAAGAGGAAATATTTATTCTAGTCTGCAAAAAATTCTTAGATATATTCAAAATTAAAATACTTTAAAAATTTTTTTTTATATTAGTGTTAAAATTTGATAAATAAAATATTCTAAGCGTTTTACAAGAATTTTATATCCATTTGTTTTTCGAAAATGATATTTTTGGGTTTTTTTTGCTCTAACTTATTAAACATACATAAGAAGCATATACTTTTAATCAAAATATTATAAGAAACGCATTACAACGTCTTCCTATAAAAGTAAAAAAACAAGACATAGATTATAAACTCATAGCAACGTGACACCGATAATGAGAATATGAAAGATCAATAAATATTATATTGAAATGCATGCGTTCTCTTAGAAGGCAAAATGTCAGGTTTTTGATGCTTTATTTTTTTTATTAAAATGTTATTTCCCAAATTTGGTTATTTAAATAAAATATAAATATGGCGCATAAAGTTGAGTATTAATTAATATGTGTTTTCCTTTGACACAAAAAGAGATAATAAACTACTAATAAAAACTTGCCACTTCCTTTTTCCGGTAAACTATAAATTATAAAAATGGCGACTATTTTTAAAAACATTTCACTTATGAAATATCTTACCGCCACTTATACTCCGAATCAAAATAAAATCTTTATAAATTTCATGTTTGAACAAACTGTATCGATATTTTTAGGCACATATAATTTAATTTTCCAAATATTCTCATTTCGTAATCATGCATGTAATCTAGGGTAGATAAAAATATATATAATAAATATCCAGATCTAATCTGACTAGAACCCCAAATTAGAGGTCTGCAATGGGATAGTTTTATCCCGACCCGTCCTTTGTTTTAAAATTTTTTAACCCTCTCGCTCATAGTTTTTTTTTCAAATTCACTGGCTCGGGAAATCTTTAAAAATTATTTTATAGGTTGGTTTTTTATATTTTAATATATTTTAGCGTAAACCTATAAAATATTATAGGAAAGGGGTGGGGGGAATGATCATTAATGAATTAAAGTCTTGTTCTGCTCGGTTCGCCAGAAAAATATTTCAAATTCACCCGCCAAATGTTTAAAATCTTAGCCTCCTCGCACACTCCGGTAGAATGTGCGCCCCCCCCCCTCCCTCATTCTCCATCTATTAGTGCTAATAAACATTAATTCCCATAAACTTTTCTCAAAATGAGCTATCGCTGGAATTATTATAGATTCAAATTAAACAGTTTTTTATGTGATAATTTTTTTAAATACATCACATAGGGGGGGGGGGGGTATAAACATTTATTATTATATTATAATGAATATATATTTATAACTATTTTGTTGACAAAATAACTCAAAAGAAGCATTTGAGGGGGAGAGTTCAAAATTTATTACACAATGCATTATTAGAAAGATAAGAAAAAATCGATATAGTATAACTGAAACAATTTTTTTTATCCTTTTCATTTTAAAAAAAAATTATCTAATTTTCTAAATAATTCTAAACAAAATCATTTTCCGATCCTATTCTTACAGTTCCTCGCGAAATATTGATTGACTTTTTTTTGAAATTGGCAATAATCATTCAATGGATTCATTTCTAAATTCTTGATTTTGATGGATAAGATTATTTTTAAAAAAATGGACGGACTCTTTTAAATGAATCATGTATACATTTACATTTATTTTTAATTTGTCTTTGAAAGTTAGCTTCTAGTTTAATATTTTTCACGTATAAAACTATATGATTATTAATTCTATAACCGGAGTGGGTGTCAAATTGAAGCGAATTTTGTTGTGTCTACAAAATTCTCACCTACCCTATATTATAAATCATAAAAATCATTTTTCCCCCCATCAATAATTTGAAAAACTAACAATTTTGTGTGTACTAATTTTTAAATTTCAAAAGTGCAATTTTTTATTCGAAAAACTAATATAGTCTTTTTTAGTGCCAAAATTAGATAAAATCATTTAAAAGCGAATATTAATCTTTTAATATAATTGCATGTTTAATGTTATCATTATGATTTATAATGTTAATAAAAAAATTTATATAATTCCAAAAATAATGTAAATATAGATTGATAAAAATGATTGGTAATTAATTAAACTATAAAGTGAATAGTTGATAACATACTCACAGGTGAAGAATAAGGCCCTACCCTTCAATGGAATAGATGAAGCTAATCTAATTAGATTTGATTGTGTCAATTGTCACTCCTTGTCGCAGATAGAATCTTTTTGGGGGATCCTTGGTTTTAGTGAATATCCAGCGTCATAGCTCATGAAGGGTAGGTCGTGCGAATCGCGAACTGAATTTACATATTTTAGTAAGTAATTAATTATTCTTCTTTTTTTTTAGTTTCAAATGGTTTAAAGGAACAGAAAATTTAATGCCATCTTTTATTCCTTGTCATTTATCTGTCCTGTTTAGTTAGCACCAAAAAAAATAATATAAAATAAAAATTGGACGGAGAATTGATAAGGGCTAAAGGAATGGACACATAAAACAAAATATCTCTTCAAAAAAAGGAAACTCATAAATCGAATAATAAATATTTTTAATTTCTTATTTATGCTCTATCCAAAACATTCAAAAAATTTAATTAGAAAACTTTATCGAAAAACATAAAATGAGCCTTTTATTGTAGGAAAATAAAAATATGGCTAAAACATATTTGTAAAATTTTTAAAACTTTATTATTAGGATTTCTTTAACAAAAATTTTTGAGTGTTTTCAATTAAAATTTTTTTAAAACAAGTATTTGACGCAACCTTAAAAATTAAATACTATATTTATGATGGCGATATATTATGGTTAAGCACCATTTTAGGAAGATTTTTAGGTTATAACTGCAAGAATGGATTGCGAAATTGATGAACAGGAAATGAGTAATAGAATGAATAACAAGGTGAGACCAACGATGTAGTGTAATAAAAAAAGCCCTATTTTGGTCGATTTTAAAAACCGCCCGATTAAGATTTTAGCCAAATTAATAGGATTATAAGCCTCGAGATTTGGCAAATAAAGGTCCTCTGTCATCTATGAGAAATATTTTTAGGCTTACATAATATTATTTTGGCTATTTATAAACTTTAAATTGCTTAATTTTTTATAATAAACTTTAAAAATAAATAAAAATTTGGAGGGACACATAATTTTTTTTGCAGAATCTGGGACGTTAAAAATAATTAATCACATTTATAAATCAGTTAAAAATTTATAAAATTGATAATTTACCCTTTAAAACAATTCATAAAAAGGCGCCAAAATTATTATAAGTGTTTAAACATTCTCACTGGACTGTAATAATTAGACATAAAAAATTTGGGAAAAATTGGCAGAGCTTGGGAACAAACATTTTCAAATCTGGGTTGGGCTTAAAATTTTGACCTATGCACCGATGGGTCTCTAATATTTAGTTATAAAATAGTAAATATCTGGATGAATGTTGTTCAATTAGAATTCAAATTATAATAGAGAATATATATATTTTAAATATTCATTTTTTGAAATCTACATCGTCAAGTATATTATTTTAATGTTTTATTTTTTAGTGATTTAAAATTACCATGGTGTATTTATTGAGTGCAAAATTTTGTTTCAGAATGTATATTATAAAATAGCGAAAATCTTTATACCGTTATTTATGTTAATATAATAAGGCTAATTAGAGCATGTGCTTACTATAAGTTGTACAAAATAAATAGAGAAAATGATTTTTATATTATAAAAAAATTAAAGTTCAAATTATACCCTGGTGAAAGCGTTTAGGTCCAATGATAATTTTGAAACTGTTATGTTTTTAACAATTAAGTCGCAGATTAATTTTTGTCAAAACATCTTAACATGGTTAGTAAAATAAGTCATTTTATTACCAATTTACTCTTACTCTATACTTATATCGTAATTGTTTTTTAATTATTTATCGAAATTTTTTAAAAATATTACACAATTATTAGTTGAGAGTTCGTTTAGAATTATTAATTATAATCTTCAGCAAATTATGATTTTAAAGAAAACATCGATTAAATTCGTGTAATCTTAGAATAAATTTAATATTTTCAAACTTTTTCCAAATAAAATTAAATATTTTTAATTCCAATAATATTTTCATATTTAAATTAAAATTCGATTTTTAGAAATGGTACCAATGGTTTAATTTATTGAATGAATCCATAATTTAATTTAAAAAATTATATTTAATGTTAACTAGCACAACCTATGCAATGACATTATTTTAGGCGTCCTAAAATCTGTTGATTCTATCGACCTTAGAACCTCTCATTCTCTTCAGATCATACGAATAACGACTAGATGGTATTACCCAAATCCCTTAGAAAGGGGGTTAATTCATAACATGGGACTATTCCTGTATTAATCCCTTATCCCCCTCCAATCTAAACACAACCATATTTGATAAGAGTTCAAAATAAACAAATATTAGAAATATCTATGACCATATTTTTATATCTTATAATCTCCTCTAAACTATATAATATACCGTGGCCGTGCATTCTCTAGATAACTTAGCTCATACATCCGTAGCATACAATTACAAATGAACCCCGATAAGGATTATATCTAAGACAAAGGCTCGCAATAATACACACTAACTATATTAGCTTTATTGAAAGCCTTCTACCTAAGGAGCCAATCTAAATTTCAACTTTTTTTAATCATTTTTTTATATTATAAATAATTTTTTGTTTTTTAATGTCTTATTTTGTTAATTTTTTTTAAAGTATATTAATATTGAAAAAATATTATATGTATCCTTGATTATAACTAGTAACATCTATTTAAAAACATATCTAAAACTTAATGATATATTTTATAAATAGTAGTATTATATATAATGGCCACTAAAATAATTAATGTGTTTTAGGCTATAGTGCGACAAACTGCAAAAACGTGAAATCTTCGCTGGTCCGGGAAAAAATCATTAATGATTTTAAACACAAATTACTGGTTCTTTCCAAAAACTAAAATGAAGGGGGGGGGGCAAGGCAAACAACACCCAATTTTATCAAGACATGGGCAAAAAATTCCTATAAAATAAAATTTTATCAATCTTTATTTTTATTAAAAATTAGTTAATTTTAGTTGTTGTTTCTCATTCATGATTCATACGAATTATTAATAACTCATGTCGAAATTTTACTTGCATCATTAACCCAGTTTCTAGGATCCCCTTTGAAGCAACATTTGAGAGGGGAAAAAATCAGAAATTTTTCTAAATAGGAACCCTATTTAATTAAAATATTTACTCAAGTTTAATTTCATAAAAAAAAGTTCAGATTTTCAAATATGACGCTTTTTAAAACATCGCATCGATGTTAAATTAATAATTAATTTATTTTAAATATATAAAAATAGTTTTAATTTCAAAATATTGAACTCGATATCCTAACTTAATATCATAACATTAGCAGGGTTTTTGGTATGATGCCATAAAACTTTATATTAAGCCCATGTGATGCTCAGCATATCTTCCATAAATGTTAATAAAGCAATTATCAAGACTTCACTAGAATGGAGTTTGTAAATATAAGTCTAAATTATCCCCAAAAAATTAAAGTCAAAACTCTTGAATTGCTTTCATTTACCATTAGGTGTACCTAGACCAGTGCACGTATTTACGCCATGAAAATCGGCGTTTTACGATATGAAAATCGGCGCCCAAGCGGAAGCTCTGAGTATTTTAACTAATATTATTAATTTATTCTTGCAATGGTCCACTCAGACCGACCACCCTCCAATCCAATTCAGTCTCGTCTGACTATTGGGTCTGACGGGACGGTCCGGCCGAAAAGTGATTAAAAAAGATAAAAATTTACTATTAATTGCTTTTTAGTTAGATGTTCATGAGTACATAAAACATGATTATTTAATGCCTAACACTTTTGATATCCCATTCATCATTTACTTTTTTTATTCTTCCGATTCATTCATTCGTCAGTTATTTAATTTATAAGAAATGAATTGAAATCATAGAAGATGATAATATTATTAAATCTCCACCCTCGGCCAAAGAATAACTATTGATTTAGAAAATAGTATTAATAGTAAAAATGAAAAAAAACAAATTCAAATTTGAAAATATATTAAAGTATTATATAAATTTTTTGAAGGGATAATTTTGTGAAAACATGTTAAATATATCTCCAGATATTTCCAATTCTTTAAGCACAAATAAATTAAGCATATATATCAAATTGAAAGCTCAAAATTTTAAATAAATGAAAGAAACTTCATCAAATAAACCTACTTATAGTTATGATTAGGGCTGGAGACAATAAGAACCCATGATTAACGAAATGTATTGGTATTGGATGGTTAAAAAATGGAATAATTTTTGATTTTTTAGAAGATAATTAGAATATTTATTTATAAATCAGTTTTATTTTATAACCAAATATCTATCACATCCAAAAACTAATTAAATATGCTAATCAAATTGATTTAAATTATATTTAATAAATTTATATTGATTTATTAATCTTTTTATATAAATAATTTAATAAAAATGATTTGATGATATAAAATATTGGTAATTTAACACATTTCATTTTTAATAAATTTCATGCAGAATAAATCTTTTATAGCTTAATAAAAAAGACATTTTCTAGACTGGACCGACCGCCCCACGGTCCATTTGATTTAACAATTTATCCGTCCGGTCTTATTTTTTAAAAAAGGACCAGACCGGTCCATTGCAAATGATACAGGAAGCATTAAAAGAACAAATAATATAAGTAAAACTAAATAAAAAAATAATAATCAATGTTTGTGAGTTTGTCACTTTTAATGGCAGACCATTCATGACTGTATTACTCATCTAGACAGGTCTATTATTGGGATTAATCTTCAGTATATTCAAAAAGCAAAAATTGTTTTGAGAATGCAAGCAAAGAAAGAAACTTTTAAATGCCCAACTGCAGAAAATTTAAAACTCCTTTTAATAAAAGTATTAAATGATTAAGAAGTCAAAACAATATAGACTATAACAACTGACAATGGAGCAAATCTTATTAAGATGGTAAAATTATTTATGGAGGATAGTGATGATGACAATCAATTGTCTGAATATGATGAATAAGAACAAATACAAAATATAGATAATTGGAATGAAGTTTCTACTAGTTTCACAAATGTACCTGATGAATTAACAATCAATCTTAATGATTTTCAATATATTATAAATATGAGAAATGCCTCTACCTTACAACTTATGGTAGATCATACAATAAAAAATTGCTCAGTTTCTTATATTATTATTAAAGCTCTGCCTGCAAGAATAAGGACAAAATGAAATCAATCATACTAAAAATTTAACTAAAAAAGACCTTTGGATTGTCACAGATGGTTATCAATCTATGACATGCTAGAGAGATTAAATGAAT